TAAGGACATTCTTTAAAGAGAGGAAGAGATGTCCAACCAAGAAAGTGAAGMTGCCTGTTACTTCCTTGAAAGGAACTAGAACTTACATTGAACTAAGCTAAACTATATCATTTTTCAGACGGTACCTTTTTCTGTAAATCAGGTAAATAATTTAAGTTGCTAGTGTCTTCCTCTGAAAGAAAGAGAAATCTTTGGGAACTGAAGGAAAGTAGTTCCTTGGTCTGAGTCCATCCCTTGATCTCATGAATATAAGGAATTTGAGATTTAACAAAATTCTTATGGTATGTTTTCTTCAGAATACCAAAGAAATTAAAACAGATATCAGATCAACAAATGATTTGAAGATCATATAGGAAGATCTCCTTGCGGCAGACTCTGGAGTTTCTTAAACCTTCACTTCCTCTAGGCTTGGATCACTCAGACATCRGAGTAACGTAATAACATACGAGTGCTTTAAGACTTTCTGGCTTAACCTTCCTAACAACAACTGCTAGCTCTAATGCCTTGCAGGCCTTTGTTGCTTTTGTTTAGTTTTGTACTTTTATTTTTCTGCTGCTACAACTATAAACATAGCTTTTACCAGGAGCTGAAAACCTACAGAATTTGCTGATTAGTCATCCTTTCTGCCTACTCATTATGAAACATCTTCTATTCGCTTCTCTCATTTTCTCTGCTATATAGATCAGATCAGATGAGTATGTTTTTGCCATCTGAATCACCAGGAATCAATGTGAAATCACAAAATACGTGCTTATCTCTCCCCAGGGACTTTACACATCGGGAGTACCTAGGCTTTCTGACTTCATTAATGCTTTTCTTAATCAAAAATGCTTAAGAAATTATTTCAAAATGTTCCCTTTGTGAAGTTAGTTGAAGGACCATGATAACTGCTAAGAGGCCCACTGCTGTTATTGCTGATGACCAGTAGGTCTGTACTTTGTATTAGCGAGTAGCTGGCCCTATTCTTTGGATTTCATAATGAATACAAAATTGGTAGTTAATTTTGATGTTTATTTAAACTACGCTTTAGCAAGTAATGAGAATATTAGGGAAGAACAGGTCCTAAATAACACTTTTGTGTTGAAAGCTCATGAATTTATTCAGTTTAACAGAAATAGAAGCACTAACAGCAGCAAATCTGTAACAATGAATTTGTGTGACTAGACTGCGAGATATAGAGAACTAATTAGCAAAGCCAGCTGAGAAAATATCAGTACTTTGCCTTCAGAAAAAGCTTGGTCTTTTAAAGATAGAGATATAAAAGCCAGAAGAAATTGCATCATAAGGATAGAGGGAGACCTGGAGGAAGTGCTTTGACCCCGTGTTCATAAGTAATTCAAATGGTAGTGCAAGCAGCATAAATGAAAAAGGAATTATTATATGATCAAAAGAGCTCTTTCTTGGAGACCAAGAAATTTAGCAATAGATTGGGAATGCAAAAAAGTGAGACAGGTTTACAAAATAATTTGTGGAGGGTAACAGGCTACTGCATGTTGGTTTATCTGCAGTTATTATTTGTTACTGTTCACCATTGGCCAGTGGAAAAAGGAAAGTCTTCAAGGGTAGGTTAAACTTTCAGTTGAGCTACTTTTGAAAATGCACTGTGTTTGAACATGATGGTGATTTTTTAAATTTTATTATTATTTTTTGACTCTGATGCTAAGCCATACAGGCTGGGACAAGCCATAGTCAGCATTTTGGCAAATTAGCTGTGATATTCCACAGCAGCAGTTCTCTGCAGTCAATATCATGTGTGGAAATTCAACTCTCAGCAACTGTATTCAAATGCAGTAAGGTTTTCTACTGAAAACAAAAACTCACGGAGACAACAGCATGTAAGTACAAGCATTGACTGTGTGGGATGGTAGTTATGTTTGGAAAGATTCTTTTCTCTTTGAAGCCTTGAAAGCCTTAATAATTATTTTGGAACTGCTTCCCTAAATGGGGTCTGTTTGGGATTTTTTTGAATCCCATCATGCCTGCCTCCTGTCCCACCCCACACATTGGTCTCATCTGTCTGCCATGGCTTCCCAGTCTGGCCACACACTCCAGGGGCCAAGGAAAGTCATTTCCCTCAGTAGGTCTCAGTCAATAGGTCATTACAGGCTACAGAAATATTTGCTAGAAAATAATAACAGCCCAACCAAGTGGGATTCAGCTAAGCATCCTATTATTGCTTTTGAATTTTGAATTTCTTGCTGAAATCTTCAAGAAAATATTTTGTTTTCTGAGAGGAAATACCCTCTGCAGTATAAAAGCCATAGCCCACAGCAGAATAGACGTTATTTGAAAATGATTTCCATGTTGGAGTCTGTGCAGTTGGAGCAAAAAAGGTCACCACTTTGGTTCAAATTGGTGGTAGATASTGGAATCAATACTGCATTTTTATGGATACATGACGTTCTCCTAGTGGGCCTCAGTTATAATTCAGTTTTCTGAGCAGTTACTAACAGAATCTCGTGGTAGAATTGAATCCATTCCTTCTCTCCTTAATAAAATGAGTGTATGACAGTTGTATTATAGGCACATATCTGCCCCAGTTTGCATCCATGGGCTCAGATGTCCAAGACCACACGTGAGCTAATGTCAGCACGGAGGATCAAGCAATGCAACAGCTCAAATTTTTCCCTCTCTGCTCAGAACCAGCTTGATATTTCCAGTGAACATAAAACTATGCTGGCCCATATGACAGTGGTTTATAAAGTCTATCAGAGATACTATGCCGTAAAGCTTTCAGAGTGACATATATCCTTGTTCATCTGTCTCTCCAATTTAAAGGCCACCTAAGTAACTCTCTGCGTCTTGGCTAAGTGTCAACAATGTTCTCAACCCAAGGCAGGCAGAAAAAAGGCTCAGTCTCACTCGCAAGAAACTACCACCACAAATCAGCCACTGACAGCCTTGTGAAACCCATGGGAAGGCCAGGTCTTAAAGCATCACAGATTTACAGTTCCAGACCACTACTCAACAGCATCCTTGCTGACAGGAGTCTATGGAGCTGGAAAAAGTGAGTCCTGAAGGGAGATTTGTAGAAAAATGGATGATATTAGTGGTTCTGGCTCTTCACAATATTCATAAGAGCCTTATTTGCCAACCTATAGGGTGGGCTCAACGAGTGTGTAGGGATGTTGTTGTGAGCATGGCACTTTAGTGCTTAAATAACCAGAAATAACCCTCAGGTACCTTTCTCTGTGAGGATTTCTGCTGCCGGGCAAAAAAAAGAGACCTGTGAATGGCCTAAAAACACCTGAACGCTGCCTTTTTTGCAGCACCAGTGTATGGCAGTGAAGGGATGCAACAAGTCAGAGCACTACAACTGCTTCCAGAGAAGTTCATCACATTCCATCAGCAGTGATTTCCAGGATTCCTGTTACATTTTTCCTTTGGCTGCATCTACAGTTCTTGACCCTTTCCCATGAATTCCCTTGTTTTTTCTCCCTCTGATTTATTTAGCAAAACAGGACTCTGCACTGTGTTTGGTTTTCAAATGTGATGAATTCTTTGAACTTGCCACTAAAAACAATTTTCATTAGGGAAAAAGCATCTACAAATAAATAGTGAAGCATTTTTAACGATCAAAAGCTCATGTCTTCTCTGGCTGAGGTCAATTTGAATCTGGAGTACAGGTTAAAATACATTTTTTAAATCTGAGCTTTGTTGAAGAATGACAACATCAGAGATACTGAGATAAATTTTAAGTAACAATGTGAATAGATGAATTAATAGTGTTATGTTGAAAATTGTAGTATGGGTTATCAAGAACTTCATAATAGCTTTCAGGAGGTATTTAAGTATCTCTCTCTACTACTTTGTCATATAGAAAATATGCCAGTGTGGCTCAGATGCATGAGTGTGTACCAGGAGGCAGTACATGAGTAGGATTAAGAGGCTCAGCTTTTGTGTTTATTTCACAGTACCGAACATAGCACATTGATTTACATGAAATATAAATTCCTTAATTTTGATCTATAATTTTCACCCTAAAGGAATAGAGGGCAGTCCATCCTATTTCCAACAGTTGGAAAAAGGTTTTTTTTACATAGACATCTACAACTAACATTTGTTAAATGCATTTGCTCTAGATTCTGACACCCATTCTTAAAGAATGAACTCCACAAAAATAAATTATTTTCATCTAATTACATCATTTTAGTAATCCAGCCCCCCATTTTACTTATCTAAATCATTTTAATGAAATCCATAGGATAGAAACATGATCTCTCTATATCTGTCCATATATTGTTTTCTTCTTTCCACATCTATCCCAACAGTGATGTTGTGCCATACCTAGATATATAAAACCAATAACGAATATTTTTACCTCCTGGTGTAACGCTTCTGCTATTCATTATTTCATAACCCTCTGTGTTTATTAGGAGGATTTTAAAGAGGCATTTCTGGAAATGTTGGCCAGAAGTAATTCCACTGGACTGAAGGAAATATTTATTGACTTAGTGCTGTTCTGTGTCGAAGCCAGTTTCATGTTTGGGTGGATATTGTTTCTTAATTTTGCCAATGAGACAATAATGCAACAATACCACTGTCTCTGCCATCCTCATATTTAGGGATCATCAATTTAAAAGAACTCTTACAAACAAGGTATGTTATTTGTCTCTAGAAATATATGAGAGAGATGAAATACCCAATGCCAGAATTTTATTTGTTTTGTGGATCCTAAACTCTTTTTTAATGGAGCAGACTTTAGTGAAAAACAAATTACATTGTCCTAAGCACTGCAACTGTCTAACTAACAGACATAGCTGTCTAAGCTAACAGACTTGATGCTCCTTGATTAATTTATGGGCAAGAAGGGCAACGCACTCAGTCCCTCTCTGCTTCTGCTTCCTCTGTGATCTTTGTCCAGGAGCATGGGATGGGCCAACAGCTGAGCCAGGAATTAGAACTTCATTTTCTCACATGCCTCCCCAGTGCCCCAGCTGCCCAACCTTGCTGCCTCCCACACGCAGATGGAGAAAAATACTGAGTGAGGGCCAGCTTTGTAACTCATATTCATGTGAGAAGCCACACTGAGGTAAGCAGGACTCTCTGTGAAACTGTATGAGTCAGGCTTTCAGGACCAATGTTTCTTAACATTTGCTAAGTTGCAAGCAAGATCTCTAATGAAAATGAAAAATGTGAAAAAAACAGTTTATAAAAGATGCAATGAGATTTCCCATGTACGCTGGACATCTATCCTTTTAAAGCCCTTGTTTTGCAGACCAGAAATCTTGAAACAGAGAAAGTAAGACTTTCAAAATATGAACATTTTTTTCTACCAATGTGATCATTTCTGTAGCACATTATTGCGCTCTTTCCAGACAACTTAATGCAGGCTTGCCTACATACTTAGGTTTATTCTACTCCAAGATAAGCAAGATGCCTTTCCATGTGCCTGGGTGTTTCCAGGTAATTTATCCAAGACATTAACCTAAATTATCTTGTCAAGAAGCTGGTTGTACCTGCTGAAAGGCAGTGGCAGATCAAACAGCAGCCCTCCTCTGACATGCCAAGGTTTCAGTGAAAGGGGTAAGGAGAAAAAAAAACAAGTCTTGGCTGCACTAAACTCAGTGGAACTTTGCCATTGACTTTGTTGGATTTGAGGCCTGCCTATAAACTCTGGCACTTCACTCCAGAGAACTGAACTGTTGACGTAATGAACAGGCAACGTTGGGAGGGCTCGGGTGCTCCCTAGTCTGATGGATGCAACTCCCCAAGTCCCAAAATGTCCCATTGGGCTGTGCCTTGTGTCCGTCTTTACAATAAGGGCCTTCTTGCTACAGAAGCAGAAAGTCAACCTACAGCAGTAGATTGTCCTGAGTCAATTACTGAGGAGAGCAACCCCATGCACTTGTGTGAGAACTATTAAATAGTTATTGGTTTCATAGAGTCTTCAGCCAAGCAGTACGGGGCTACAAAAAGTCAGTGTCTAGGCTGAAATTAGGACGTTTTCTGAGTAGTTCATTGTCCAGTCTTCAATTTTTAAGCATGAAACTTTTGCAAAAAAAAGGCCTTACACTTTGCTTGTTCATTGTTTTTGCTTTTGATTTAGAGCTCTGCAAGTAAGCCAGCAGTGGGGACTGCATGTTGACTGTAATAGGATTTCTGGAATAGTTTGGTCTCAGAACTCCTCTAAATCCAATGGAACTGGTCCTGCAAATCTGCTCCTTCATATGAGTAAGGGACTTGAGAGTCTAGCACTTCKGCCTATGCACTCCATTCTGATCATGCTACAGTCCATCGGTAAGTGAATTTTGAAAGGGACATAGTCCAGGCTGTAATGCTACAGGTGGGCATTGTGTCCGTATATTTTGTTTGTAACGAAAATGTTCATAGCATGTGATGGTGCAAGCACCGGCCTACTATAAAATGGCTCTGAGACATGTAAGGCCATTAAATTAACACATGCATCCTATATTTCCTTTTGTAAGTGTATTCTAGTGCAACAGCCCATGGGACTCTAGCCTTTCTCTGTGTCTTAACCCTAACCTTAGGCCTAACCCTAACCCTAGCCAAAAACAGGAGGCGCA